TGATGGTGTGTGGAGGAAGCACACCAGATGGATATACAGCTTCTGTTGAAGTAGCTTCTCTTTGAATTTTGTGGCTCCAATCCCTACTGTCGTTATAATAATTGTGACTATTGTGTATGCATGCATTGTACGAAAAAATATTGTTTTGGCTTCACTCCCTGTTTTCATTTTTCTCTTTGAGAAAACACTAACTTTCTAAACCTTAGTTTTGACCTGTAATGTTATGACATTTTGTTGTTCAGATGTTGTTGCGCATGCATTACAGTTATAGTGCAGGAAAATGCAAACAGCTCCTCTTGGTATTATTATACAGTGGAACCTCTGATAAGGGACTCTCCGAGATAGGGACGACCACTCTACAAATGACACTTGTTTCAACCCCATTCTAATACTTTAGTGTATTGCCTCCAAGATAGGGACGTCCCCTCTACTGACATGAGACCAAAAATTATAATTACTGTCCCCATATAGTGTCTCTTTTTCGGAGGTTCCCCTCTATAGATTTGCCTCGCCGGAACTGCCATTCACATCAAAATCTGACAATAACTATACATCACAGCAAACAATTTATTATGCATAAAGGTTACGTCATAACGCAGCTGAAACTAATTAGCAAATGAATCCTCTTCCAATAAAGCATTATATGCATGAAATTATAGTTCATAGCATACCAGCCATAGGTATATAGATAGATAGATAGCATGCATAATACAATTATAATGAAGAAACAGCACACACCACAAAATCTAGTAAAACATACAGCATTTACACATTCACACGCAGCACAAAAATTTTGGTGAAAAATTTATATAATTTTTGAGGAAACTCATGATTGCATCAATAATGAAATTGTGCTCCATTTACAAAAAAAATGTGCCTCATTTCAATTACATAAAATTACATAATGACAAAGTACACATAAACACAACTCCTGAAATTAGTGCTAATACACATCGTACATAATAGGTCTGCAGGATAATAGTCATTTCCATGGTTGTATAATTTATAGTCATCATCACAGGAGTCCCTCCATCACCAGTTTGAAAGAACGCTGAGTACATCACTGAAATCGCCCAGCCCTCCAACTTTCTTCTCTTCTTTCTTGATCGTCGCAGTGTCTTCGTTTTTTCCCACTGGTTCTTTGACCCCTGACCCCACAGATGTGAGGCTTGTAGTCGTGGTGATACTGTCCGTGGTAGTCGTGCTCGTGTTGCTGGCATGCTCTCCTGTCGTGGCCCCGCCCCCCGTCTCTCCCTCGCTGATATACTGTATCCCACTGTCCAAGGAGCTGTTGCGACTCGTTGTGGACGTCGTCTCCTCTTGCGTACCGCGAGAGGTGGAGGAAGAGTAAGAAGAAGAGGGGGCAAGTCGAGTCATACTGGAACTACCCTTCATACCACCGGGAGAGAGGTGGGCCGGGTACAGTCTGGAGGATGTTGGAGAATTCCGCTGTCCGTGAATCGGCGAGTGTTTACTGTTTCCACCGCCGGTCGTAGATCGGTAAGCAGACAGTGGCGGGGAAGACTGTTTCGAAGAGCCGCCCTTGCAAATAAGGATTGGTGATCCGGGTGTAATATGTGGGATGACTCCGTTTGAGGACTTCTTTCCCGAGGAGGATTCCTGTTTGGCTCGGTGGGCGGCCTCTCGCAGCTCCTGCTGGGCCTGGAACGGAAGGAGAGGCGTCATTACCCGGCTGTTTCCGACGGACGAGGTAGCGAGTCTGTGTTACGTCGAGAGCGAGGGGGAGACGGGAAGAGAGCCGGTGTCGATTTCATCATCTCTTTCCTCGCTTGCTGTGGCGATATTCTCTCGGACGATGACTCGGAGCTCTGTCGACCGATCTTTGAGATTGCCGGCGGAGCCATTTGCCTCGAGAGTGGAGGAAGCTGCCCGTTTCTCTGCAAACTGCTGAACATTGTGGGGGCGGGCCTTGATTAACCGACGCCCCTCGCCGCGGTTTCGGGGCTGTCTGCTTCTCTTTGAAGTGTGGGCCCACCGTCACAATCTCGTGCAGGAGATCCTCGATGCAAATGATGCCAAACTTTCCGAGGGCTTTCTCGATGACGGTGTTGTGGGAGAGCGGGACGCGCTGGTGCTGGATCTTTCCGTAGCCTCTCTTGTAGATCAGTTCTCGTGCTGTCTTCACTGTGGGGTACCTGGGGTGCAGGTGGGGTGAGAGGGTGAGGGTTTGGAAGAACGGAAGTAGGAGATTACTTTACCACTATAGCTACATGTACGTACATAATAATAGCTCCAGAGATTTACTGCTGGGACATTTATATAGTAGATGGTTCCAATAACAGCACACCTACTATTTGGGGGTCAAAGTGTCCCCTGGGAAGCATATTCAGGGGACAAATAAAGAGATAGAGGAACTATGTCCCCCTGGTGCACTCTGGCACTCAGCCCGGCCTTACTACTATGAACAACTCCACGGCAACTTCTCAAAAAAAAGTCCGCAATGCAGTTAGATTAACAAACGTACATGCTAAAGCAACTTTGCAATTTTATCTGAAACTTGCGTAAGTTAGTGTTGAGTCAGTAGTTACACAATACTAAGGCAATTGTTGATCTAGAACAGTTCGTGATAACTTAAAGAAACAAACGGGTAGACAGCTGCGCTCACCCCCAGGCAATGTAGGACTCGACCAACTTGAGCATGTGGACCGTTGCCTTGTTGACCTTCACAAACACTCCGTTGTTGATCTGACGCAGTCGGAGGAGCTGAAGAATCTTCCGGACCCTCGGACTAACACCATTGATACTGTGGTATAGTAGGTGTGTGTGTGTGTGTGGGTGTGTGTGCGTAGGGAGGGAGGAGGGAGAGTCATGTACACACAGACGAGAAAAGCAGGGCGTAAAGGAAGGAATTAGTATATGGAAGGAAAGGATTCAGGGTTAGGGGGGGAGGGGGTAGATATGGAAACAGGTGGGTGGGAAAGAGAGAGAGGTAAAGAAACGGAGAAGCAAAGACAAAAGGGAAAACAAGGCGAAAGTAAGGACACGCTCACTTACCCCCTAATTCTGATGACAAAGACGACCTTGGCCTCATCGGGGACGTAAAAGTTGCCCCTCTTCCTTGCCTCTCTCTTCATCCGTATCTCGTCCAGCTCTCTCTGGCGGTACTCCTTGACATAATGCTCCGCTCGCTTGAAGATCACCTTCCTCTGGTCCTTACGTAACTGAGATAAGGAGGGAGAGGGGGAAGGGGGAGGGAGAAAGATCTTTGTGTTTGTTCATGACTGCACCATCCACCTTAGACAGTACACAAGGCAAATGCACGAACTTTGGAAAACAGGGGACGGATTACGATTAAAACTCCTACGTCCCTTCCACACTACTTAGAATGACAGACGGTCTAAGAGACGGCTAACCTTCTTGGTGGCGGCCCTGGCAAAGGAGCGGGCCTTTCGAACTTCGTCGTTTCTTTTCCGACGCTTCAGTAGTGTCTCGGGGACGGTCGGTAGCTTCGCTCCACTGGGGAAAAGGAATAAAAGACCATATGCTAGCCGAAAACATTGACAGGGACAAACAGGCTAAAACAGGGACAGAGATGTACAGAGATTCTTAAATCACTTACGCCTGTTGATCCGCCATTCCACCATGTGAAGGAAAGATCCGATTGCGCATGCGCATGGGGCAAAACGGGAAAGTGGGCGTATATACCCGAGCAAAAAAAGGGGCGGATCAAGATCTTGTTTTTTACACCCTCCATTCGTCCTTTGATTCTCTCTTCACTCTCCAAATGGCCCAGCAGCTAGGACTGCAAGGTCGCTTTGGCTTCCGCAACGTCCGACTGGTCAAATCGGAGGAGAACTCGCTGGGGAACGGCTCGTACGGAGCAGTGTACAGGGCCAAGTGTGACCAGCTCGTCTGCGCCGCCAAAGTCCTGCACCCCATCCTCTTCCAGACAAGGGACCCCGCCGCCTACCGCATCGTGGAGCGCTTCCAGCGAGAGATCGACTTCCTGAGCGGCCTGAGGCACCCCAACGTCATCCAGTACCTGGGCTCGTGTGCGGACCCCGAGACTCGAATGCCCGTCCTGTTCATGGAGCTGATGGACGAGAGCCTGACCAGCTTCCTGGAGCGGCCGGCGGACCCTCCCTCTCTCCCTCTCCACGTGCAAGTGGACATTGGCCACGACGTGGCACAGGCTCTCTCCCACCTCCATCGCCACGAGGTGCTGCACCGCGACCTCAGCAGCAACAACGTCCTCCTGATCGGCAGCCGGCGAGCCAAGGTGACCGACTTTGGCATGGCCAAGCTGTTGGGCAGCGACCCTCGCCTCACTCCCACCTTATGCCCCGGAACCAATGCCTACATGTCTCCCGAGGCTCTGGCAGATCCCCCGACACACACCGGCAAACTGGACGTCTTTTCCTGTGGTGTGCTCTTTGTTCAGCTCATCACTCGCAAGTGGCCAAACCCAGGCCCTCGTATGCGCTCTGTACAAGTAAATGACCCTCGTTTTCCATCAGGACAGTTACTTATGGTAGTCCCCTGAATTAGAACGTCGTAAGGAGCACCTGGATCTCATCTCCCCCACACACCCTCTCCTGGAGGTAGCCCTGGACTGCCTCAAAGACAAGGAAGGTCAGCGACCGATGGCCGAGCAGCTATGCTCTCGCCTGATTGCTCTGAAAGAGAGTGCTGCCTACCGAGACAGCCTGCAGCAGACCCCAGAGGAGACGACAGGTCAGGCACCTCCTGCTAGAAACCAGGAACTAGAGCAACAACTAAGGGAGAGAGTTGATAACCTCACCAGAGAAGTGCAGCAACTGTCGCTGCAGAATGAAGAAAAAGCCAGAAGCATACAACAGAATGAAGAAGTAAATAGGCAGTTTCAACAACAAATTGGAGCAAATAATCGACAACTTCAAGCCAGTAGACAAGAGAATGAACAGATGGTGGCTGCTCTACAACAGAAAGATGCAGCACTTCGGGCAAAGGATGAGTTGCTGCAGGAGAAGGAGAGAGAGATACGAGAACTGCAGCAGAGAGTGAGGGAGAGGGAGGGAAGTGGTGTGGCCGCAAGACCTTTGAAACTAGGGTGGAGGGATGGACCACCAGCTCCTTTCCCAACCTACGGACGTTCAGTAGCAGTCACTGGAGAGATGGTCTACTGCGCTGATGGTGTTAGTTGTAAAGTGCTGATGTTCAACTCAAGGGCATGTAAATGGACAGTTCTTCCAGAATGCCCCAAAATATTCTTCTCCGTAGCAGTAGTGAATGGACAACTGACAGCAATTGGAGGGGGACAATCATACGAAGCCACAAACACTCTTCTCAGTCTCTCACAGAAAAGACTAGGCATCTTCCAACAGAAGTGGATTGAACAATTTCCACCAATGACATACTGTCGCAATGCCCCAGCAGTCACTACCACCAACACATCACTGATAGTAGCTGGAGGATGGAGTCGAGATGAGAAAATGGCATTGGTAGAAGTGATGGACATTCAGGCACTGCGATGGTCCACAGTAGCCAGTCTACCTTATCCTCTCCGTCAGGCAACAGCCACCATCTGTGGGGACAGACTCTATATTGGTGGTGGGTATAGTACTGGTGGGCCAACCAAGTCAGTGGTAATGTGTGAGGTGAAAGACCTCCTCCAGTCACAGCCACAGTCACTAGCCACCAGACCAGGTCTCTCCAGTAGTCCTCCAGTGTGGAAAGAAGTTGCTCCACTTCCAGTGTTTCTGTCTTCTCTCGTCACCTTCCAAGGCCAGCTACTGGCAGTAGGAGGATCAACTACAGGGAGAGATGCTGGCTCTAGGTCTGATGTGATGCAATATGATGCAATCACAAACTCTTGGAGAGTAATCGGCCAGATGAAGGTGAAGCGAAACTACTGTTTTGCAGCAGTTCTTCCTAACAATACACTGATGGTGTGCGGAGGATTCACTTCAGATGGAGATACCACTGTCTATGTTGAACTAGCTTCTCTTTGAGAAAACACTAACTTCTAACTCTTCATAGTTTTGACCTGTAATGTTATGACATTTTGTTCCAATAAAGCATGCATAATACAATTATAATGAAAAGCACTAAAGTGCAAACCCTCGGCGAACTGCGCATGCGCGGTACCACTAATTGATGGGCTGGGCTTTTCTTTTCTTTACTCGTTGTATCGCGCTAGTAGCTCGCGGAGAGTCTGGCACGGGCTAGCTACAGTAGTAGATTGCATGCGGGAGTCGATACATGCCCTTCGTTGTGACTTCTTGTGCCTTCAAGATACACAGAGCGCGCGGACGCAGTCGAGGTAAGCCTGTGCTAATTACCATATTGGCTTGTTCACTTGGTTTTCACGCCATAACTTTAGAACGCAGTAGTTTTACGAAAATCGCCTTTTTAAAAATCAACCCAGTGTAGCACTGAACCCGATCATATCGCTATTTACCTGATTTCGTGCGCGCGGTGGCAGAAAACCTGGTAACAGACAGAATGAAAAGCACTGAAGTGCAAACCCTCGGCGCACTGTGACGCCGTACCACTAATTGATGGGCTGGGTTAGCTGTTACCCATGGTCTCTTGCCAGCTCGCGCAGAGTCTGACGCGGGCTAACTACACTACTAGATAGCATGCGAGAGGCGATACACGCCCTGCGTTGCATCTTCTGGTGCCTCCGAAGTAAGCAGAGCACGCGGATCGATCCGACTGTGGTAAGCCATCCCGTCCGTTGTGTATTTGCATATTGGTTTTTTCGCGCTCTAGCTTTGCAACGAAGCAGTTTCAGAAAAAAACGTTCGATTCTGACCTTCATTGCCCGTTAAGTAGGTCGTATCCTTTGTGAGACGAACAAACACCCGAGAAGTGAGATTGAGAGTAACAGACAGACACACACACAGACAGACCCAAGTACTGTAACCCTCGCTGCGCATGCGCGCCGAGGGTTAATAATGGGGTAGCCAACAGACCCAACATTTCAACTGTCTCTTCATGTTTGTGGAAATTTCTGTTTCTGTTCTCTGTTTCTGCTTTTGGCTACCAAGTATAGCTACCGTGGGAATGGGTGGGTAATTTGTTTTTTCAATGTCAGGTAACAGGACATTTCAGTGCTCTTCAACTGAGGAGTACCTTCTCATTGATGCTCTGTGTAACGGTGTCAAAGACTGTGAGAATGGAGAGGATGAGACGAATGTTCTCTGTGAGAGTAAGTAATATAAACACTCCTGTATAATGTAGTGCCGAGTGTCATTGATTAGCTAATACAACATGATAGTGTTGGAGTGTCAGCATAAAAGAAATGGTGTTGTGTAACTTTTGTGCCTTTGCTGTGTAAACAACCACCCCACATCGCTTTATTTTTTGGTGTTTCAAGCCATCCCTGTATGACTCTTCCACTTGTGTGTTTTACAGACAAGTGTCTCATGCCATACTACGGAGGATGTCCCTACAATAGGGAATGCATTCCGTCTGAGACCGGTGTCAGTTGTGGCGACTGCCTGCCTGGATTTATTGAGTATTCAGACGGAGTATGCATAGGTATTTTATCCAAATCTTTGACATGCTTGGGATAATAGTTAAATATTTCATTTCCAAAAGTGAGAGCTAAATTTGATCAAAATAACTATTATGGAAGTGCAATGGATGGAGTCACCCAAGACATATGTGTCATTTTAGGTCTTCAGCAAACCCAGTTTGATATGGGAGAGGATGCTTTACCTCCTATCCATGCATCTATCAGTACATTTGATTTTTTCGGTAGAGTACCCCAAGGTATAACTCTAACTATGGCATTATGCTTAATTCTGTTGACATTAATTTCTATTGCAGGACTAATGAAAAGCACTAAAGTGCAAACCCTCGGCGAACTGGGGATGCGCGGTACCGCTAATTGATGGGCTGGGCTGCTATTAGTATTCGTTTACTCGTGGTCTCCCGCTAGTAGCTCGCAGAGAGTCTGACACGGGCTAGCTACAGTAGTACATAGTATGCGAGAGTCGATACACGCCCTTCGTTGTGGCTTCTTGTGCCTTCAAGATACACAGAGCAAGCGGACGACCCGGTCGAGGTTATAAGCGCATGCGCATTTTCCGCAGCGATAAAAATGGCCGACTACGCATTAGCCGTACAATGGTGGAAGCGCTCTAGCTCTGCAACGGAGCATTTTCAGAGAAAACCCCACATATTTTCTGACCTTCGTCGCCCGTTGGGTAGATGGTAGCGTTTCTGGGACGAACAGACATTCGAGAAGTGAGATTGAGAGTAACAGACACACACACACACCCAACTACTGTAACCCTCGCTGCGCATGCGCGCCTAGGGTTAATGACTGACTGACAGACGGACACAGACTGACACAGACTGACACAGACTGACACACTTACGAAACAACTACCGTAACCCTCGCTGCGCATGCGCGCCGAGGGTTAATTAAAGTGCAAACCCTCGGCGAACTGCGCATGCGCGGTACCGCTAATGATGGGCTGCACTGGCATTTACTCGCGGTCTCCCGCGCGCTATAGTACCTTGCGGAGAGTCTGACACTGGCTAGCTACAACATGCGGGAGTCGATACACACCCTTCGCTGTGCTCCAAGGTACACAGAGCAAGCGGATCAGGTCGAGGTTAGCCGCATTGATCGCACGCATGCGCACCGCTTATTGATGGGTTTGGCCACGGAACGCTTCCGCGACCGTGTCGAACGCAGTCGTTTCAGCAAAATCGGCATTTTATTTTTCTAGCCCATGTACCGCTAAAGCTGTTGGTATCGCTCATAAGCCGCCTCGTAGCCTGTAGTGCGAGAATAGTCGGGGGACGGTCGGTAGATTCGTTCTACTATATACGCTAGCCGAGAACAAGGACAGGGACAGAGATGTACAGATATTCTTAATCACTCACGCCCGCGGTGGATCCGCCATTCCACCATGTGATCGAAAGACAAGATTGCGCATGCGCATGTGCAAAACAGAAAGTAAACCAAAAAAGGGTGGACCAAGATCTTTTGTTTTCCACCCTCCATTCGTCTTTTGATTCTCTCTTCACTATCCAAATGGCTCAGCAACTACGACTCCAAGGTCGCTTCGGCTTCTGCAACGTCCGACTGGTCAAGTCGGAGGAGAACTCGCTGGGGAACGGCTCGTACGGAGCAGTGTACAGGGCCAAGTGTGACCAGCTCGTCTGCGCCGCCAAAGTCCTGCACCCCATCCTCTTCCAGACCAGGGACCCCGCCGCCTACCGCATCGTGGAGCGCTTCCAGCGAGAGATCGACTTCCTGAGCGGCCTGAGGCACCCCAACGTCATCCAGTACCTGGGCTCGTGTGCGGACCCCGAGACTCGAATGCCCGTCCTGTTCATGGAGCTGATGGACGAGAGCCTGACCAGCTTCCTGGAGCGGCCGGCAGACCCTCCCCCTCTCCCTCTCCACGTGCAGGTGGACATTGGCCACGACGTGGCACAGGCTCTCTCCCACCTCCATCGCCACGAGGTGCTGCACCGCGACCTCAGCAGCAACAACGTCCTCCTGATCGGCAGCCGGCGAGCCAAGGTGACCGACTTTGGCATGGCCAAGCTGCTGGGCAGCGACCCTCGCCTCACTCCCACCTACTGCCCCGGAACCAATGCCTACATGTCTCCCGAGGCACTGGCAGATCCCCCGACATACACCAGCAAACTGGACGTCTTTTCCTGTGGTGTGCTCTTTGTTCAGCTCATCACTCGCAAGTGGCCCAACCCAGGCCCTCGTACTTACACTGTGCAAGTAGGCAATGACTCTCGCTTCCCATCAGGACGAGTGCTTGTGGAGGTCCCCGAGTTGGAACGTCGTAAGGAGCACCTGGATCTCATCTCCCCCACACACCCTCTCCTGGAGGTAGCCCTGGACTGCCTCAAAGACAAGGAAGGTCAGCGACCGACGGCCGAGCAGCTGTGCTCTCGCCTGATTGCTCTGAAAGAGAGTGCTGCCTACCGAGACAGCCTCCAGCAGACCCCAGAGGAGACGACAGGTCAGGCACCTCCTGCCAGAGACCAGGAACTAGAGCAACAACTGAGGGGAGAGTGAGTCGAGAGTTGAAGACCTCACCAGAGAAGTGCAGCAACTGACACTGCAGAATGAAGAGCAAGCCAGAAGCATACAACAGAAGATGAACTAGTCAAAGATGAAATCAGTAGTTCGACAGAATCGAACACTTCAAGTCAGTAGACGAGAGAATGAACAGGTGGTGGCTGCTCTACAACAGAGTGTGGAGCAGAAAGATGCAGCACTTCGGGCAAAGGATGAGTTGCTGCAGGAGAAGGAGAGAGAGATACGAGAACTGCAGCAGAGAGTGAGGGAGAGGGAGGGAAGTGGTGTGGCCACAGGACCTCTGAAACTGGAGTGGAGGGATGGACCACCAGCTCCGTTTCCAACCTGCGGACATTCAGTAGCAGTCGATGGAGAGATGGTGTACTGTGCTGATCGTGTTAGTGATACTAAAGTGCTGATGTTCAACTCAAGGACAGGGCAATGGACAGTTCTTCCAGAATGCCCCAAAAAGTTACTTCTCCATAGCAGTAGTGAATGGACAACTGACAGCAATTGGAGGGAGACAATCAGACAAAGCCACAAACACTCTTCTCAGTCTCCCACAGGACAGACCAGGCATCTTCCAACAGAAGTGGATTGAACAATTTCCACCAATGACATACTGTCGCAGTGCCCCAGCAGTCGCTACCACCAACACATCACTGATAGTAGCTGGAGGATGGGGTCCAGATGAGAAGAAGGCACCCAGTAGAAGTGATGGACATTCAGACACTACAATGGTCCACAGTAGCCAGTCTACCTCTTCCTCTCTGGCAGGCTACAGCCACCATCTGTGGGGACAGACTCTATATTGGTGGTGGGTTTAGTACTGGTGGGAGTTCAACCAAGTCAGTGGTAATGTGTGAGGTGAAAGACCTCCTCCAGTCACAGCCACAGTCACTAGCCACCAGACTACTACGTCCCTCCAGTAGTCCTCCAGTTTGGAAAAAAGTTACTCCACTTCCAGTGATATTCTCTTCTCTCGTCACCTTCCAGGGCCAGCTACTGGCAGTAGGAGGATCGACTACAAGGAGATATGCTGACTCCACATCTGACGTGATGCAATATGATGCAACCACCAACTCTTGGAAAGTAATCAGCCAGATGAAGCTGAAGCGAAACTACTTTTTGCATCATTTCTTCCTACCCAGCACACTGATGGTGTGCGGAGGAGACACACCAGATGGACGCACAGCTTCTGTTGAAGTAGCTTCTCTTTGAATTTTGTGGCTCCAATCCCTACTGTCGTAATTATGATTTTGACTATTGTGTGTCTTATGCTGGGTACAAAATACAAAGATAGATGTTTGTGGAGGATTCACTTCAGATGGAGATAGCACTGTCTATGTTGAACTAGCTTCTCTTTGAGAAAACACTAACTTCTAACTCTTCCTAGTTTTGACCTGTAATGTTATGACATTTTGAACGTGACGTGCAGGTTCACTCTGCAGTCAAGTTCCTACACAAAAGTGCGCATGCGTGGAACTGCACCTTGCTGCGCCCCCATCAGAGCGCTCTGCTACTCCGCCCAACAGCTGCACGGCCCGCTTGCGCTCTGAGACTCACCGCAACACCCAGATGTATTAAATATTTTAACTCCAAGGTAGGTACAACAAGAGACAAAAAATTATATACTGGCCCCATAGTGTCCCTTTTTCAGAGGTTCCACGTTATTTTTAGGTTCTCGTCTATAGATTTGCCTTGCCGGAACTGCCATTCACATCAAAATCAGACAAAAACTATCACAGCAATCAATTGATTATGCATAAAGGTTACGTCATAACGCAGCTGAAACTAAGCTATCAATAGCAAATGAATCCTCTTCCAATAAAGCATTATATGCATGCATAATACAATTATAATGAAGAATGATAAAACAGAAAACACACCACAAAATCTAGTAAAACATACACCATTTTTACACATTCACACACATAATCTGCAGCACAAAAATTGTGGTGACAAAATTAATATTTTGAGGAAACTGATGATTGCATCAATAATGAAACCATTAAATTGTGCTCCATTTACAAAAAAATGTGCCTCATTTCAATTACATAAAATTACATAATAATGACAAAGCACACATAAACACAACTCCTGAAATTAGTGCTGATACACATCGTACATAATAGGTCTGCAGGATAATAGTCATTTCCATGGTTGTATAATTTATAGTCATCATCACAGGAGTCCCTCCATCACCAGTTAGAAAGAACGCTGAGTACATCACTGAAATCGCCCAGTCCTCCCGTTTCAACTTTCTTCTTAGTCGTCGCAGTGTCTTCGTTTCTTCCCACTGGTTCTTTGACCCCTGACCCCGCAGATGTGAGACTTGTAGTCGTGGCGATACTGTCCGTGGTAGTCGTGCTCGTGTTGCTGGCACGCTCTCCTGTCGTGGCCCCGCCCCCCGTCTCTCCCTCACTGATATACTGTATCCCACTGTCCATGGAGCTGTTGCGACTCATCGTGGACGTCGTCTCCTCTTGCGTACCGCGAGAGGTGGAGGAAGAGTAAGAAGAAGAGGGGGCGAGACGAGTCATACTGGAACTACCCTTCATACCACCGGGAGAGAGGTGGGCAGGGTACAGTCTGGAGGATGTTGGAGAATTCCGCTGTCCGTGAATCGGCGAGTGTTTATTGTTCCCACCACCGGTCGTAGATCGGTAAGCAGACAGTGGCGGGGAAGACTGTTTCGAAGAGCCGCCCTTGCGAATAAGGATTGGTGATCCGGGTGTCATATGTGGGATGACTCCTCCGTTTGAGGACTTCTTTCCCAAGGACGATTCCTGTTTGGCTCGGAGTGCAGCCTCTCGCAGCTCCTGCTGGGCCTGGAACGGAAGGAGAGGCGTCATTACTCGGCTGTTCGACGGACGAGGTAGCGAGTCTGTGTTACGTCGAGAGCGCGGGGGAGACGGGAAGAGAGCCGGTGTCGATTTCATCATCTCTTTCCTTGCTTGCTGCGGCGATATTCTCTCGGACGATGACTCGGAGCTCTGTCGACCGATCTTTGAGATTGCCGGCTGAGCCATTGGTCTCGAGAGTGGAGGAAGCTGCCCGTTTCGCTGCAAACTGCTGAAGATTGTGGGGGGCGGGCCTTGATTAACCGACGCCCCTCGCCGCGGTTTCGGGGCTGTCTGCGGAGCAGGCTTCTTCTGAGGTTGGTAGGTGTTGTTTCGACCTTTGTCCGACACGCTCGGAGCCTGCAGAGGTTGTTGCGACACGCTCCTCTGGAGACCTCCCGTGCCAGCTTTCTGAGACGACGTCTGCCCACTGCTGGTTGCAGTTGAGCTCGAGTCCTCGTAGCGAGAGGTGTCTGAGATTGTCGTGGGTATGTTCATAAGGGAGCGCCCCTCGCTGATAGTGCCGAGCCCAAACGAAGACGGGAAATCGAAATCGATATCCAGACTCCCGAGCGACAGAGAAACCCCACCAGTCGGGCTCATCGGAGCCGAGTCTTTACTCCCACTTACTCCAGTTACCCCGCTTTTCCTCCCTACCTCGCCCCCACTCTGGTTCGTCGGATGAGCGCTGAGGTTGTCCCTGCTACCGGCGAAATCGAGACTGGACTGTGTGTCGATGTTTGAGTAGCTCGTCCCGCTGTCCGTGAGGCCGCGAGAACTGCCGCTGGGGAGCGGAGGGGAGGGGGAACCCCCTGACAGGGAGCTCGTCTTGTGCTCGCCGCTCTCAGAGAGCTCGTCGTCTTCGTCGTCAGGGCATCGAAATCCAGCTCCAGACTTGTGTCTCTGTGAGGTAAAATGGAAGAAAATAATATTGAAGTCAAACCAAGGGGGATTCAAAACCATTCAGTTTAACTGAATAATTGTGGCAAGCCTGTACCTGGTTGTCTAAGTGGACAATATTATACTCTTGACAATAATATGTGTGTGCTAAAAATCAGGTAGAGTTGTTTAAAAGTAGCATCTGTTTATATACTAGACTTGCTATGTTCTTGTGAACAGATAGTGACAATTTGTGCAGTTGGACAATCACTATTTTTCTTCATAAGCTCTGATTGACACACGAAACATTTTCACCTCAAAAGGTTTCTCGCTGTATATGTATGTATACTATGTGAAAGAGGCAGTAATAGAGGGAGCAAGAAAGGAAGGGAGGGCCAACAAGAGACAGAAACCTATTACGAGAGGGAGTGGGGGAATGAGGGGGGAGAGAGGGTAGAATATCAAACCTTCGTACTTGACTAATGATACAAGCACAACGAGGAAAATATGATCTCATATTGAATGTCAGCACTATACCTCCCCTACACGCGTGCAAATTATTGCTTATACACCGATACCCAGGATATTACGTCGTGCACAACAAGTATACTATACTCACTGGGCTAGACATAGTTCCTACTTACACGGTGTGCATTACATGTTGAATGACTATTTAAACCCATAAAGAGCCGAACAACTCATACAGAGCAAGGCAGAGCACTCTGTGTTCTAGAGAGGGCTCTACCAACTGAGCTACTGAGGCAGCTCAGCTGGCTGGGCTCAATCACTCATACAGAGCAAGGCAGAGCACTCTGTGTTCTAGAGATGGCTCCACCAGCTGAGCTACTGAGGCAGCTCAGCTGGCTGGGCTGAATCACTCATACAGAGCAAGGCAGAGCACTCTGTGTTTTAGAGAGGGCTCTACCAACTGAGCTACTGAGGCAGCTCAGCTGGCTGGGTTGAACCACTCATACAGAGCACTCTGTGTTCTAGAGAGGGCTCTACCAACTGAGCTACTGAGGCAGCTCAGCTGGCTGGGCTGAACCACTCATACAGAGCAAGGCAGAGTTCTAGAGAAATCGACAAAGACTCACTTTTGGACAGACGGAGTTTGCTGGGGCTGAGAAGGAGGAGGGGCTGATGAAGGGGTTCCCTGTAATGACGAGCTACTGCGATTGTTGGTGACAAACCCATTTAACTCCTTCACATCTCCCTGGACCTTCTTGAAGATGTCTATCAGTGTCTTGTCTTGTTCCTTTATCCCCTCCTGCAGTGGCAAAGGGTTAAAACACTTTAATACAACATGCAATGCTCGGGACACACTAATTAATCCTTTTTCCCCCAACACTGAGAGCGACGAAGGGGCTACTACCGTATAACCTTCAAAACACAAAACCTTAGCAAATTCGCGGCTTTTATCAATACTAAGTGTATCATCCATGCCTATTGTACCAACTTTTGCACATACGTAGGTATTATACATATAAGTTTAAAACTATCTGATGATGTCGTCAGCGTGCAAACTTGTGTGTTTATGGCGTAATATGACCCGTGGCAAAACAGCACTTTTGCATGGTTCCGTGAGTCTTGTAATTGGCGTAGTCAGCAGAGAGTTAAAAGGGCGATGTTACACAACTAGTTGAAAGGTTAGATATGCAACACACAGCGAGGTCCAGACATTCCCCGAGAGCAACAGTGAGTAAAGGGTTAATTGATCACAGGTCAGAGTGTCAGACATGCCGCAGTGCTGGCACGGTCTCGGGCCTTTTGATACGATCGTGTGGACCAACTCTCTATAGTGGGAGCACAGCTATGCTGCAGACACACAAAGTGTCCTGACCGGCTACATTAGCTGTAGAGTAAGGCCAGTCAAAAGTCAGCACACACGCGCACACGCAAACACACACAGGATCCTACCTGCAATTTCAATGAACCCTCGAGTAAACATGCACAAAGAAACCATGGACTATAGACACATGTCTCTCACTACAACTTTCATAATGCCACGTGTACATGTGTATATGCACACACACACACAGGCACACGTGCACGCACACACACACACACACACACACACACACACACACTCAGTGGAGCCCCAGGGCCCTGGGTTGCCAGTATATATATACAGCAGTTGCAGTGGCGTCTTGAGTATACAAAAACATCCTGTGAGGGCAGTTTGGGTGGTGAACGAAGTGGCTTCTGGTGAACCGCTAGGGAGAGGAGCTACAGCTGTTAGCACAAGGTGGGGAGACATCATAACCACAGGGATACACTACTATATAGTGGGTACTTCGACTAGAAAAACAGAGTATTTTTGCTAGCAAGAACATGTAACATCACAACTTGTGTTTTTCCTTTCACGTTAACTTCACAACCAAGTGCTTCACTTTCACATTAGCTTGTGCGACTACAGGTGTGTCCATATTATTGCTGATTGTACGGAAGCAGAGGCTACTATAGACATGTGGTAAGCTGCAAAGGAAGGAGCCAGACAGGCCAGAGTAAATTGACGTTGAATTAAATTCCAATCATACCAACCTAACAATGGTCGCAAGTTCATCTACAGCACCACCACATAGTTGTGGGGTAGGTTGCCATGGAGATGACAGGGTGCAGGTGGACCCATTGGCAACAGAAGCCAGACACCACTGTACATACAATGACATCACTACATCTACACCTATAATTATAGTGCCCGCCATACTTTCACTACTGCAACATGTATATCTGTATACAGGGGCTTCTAATACATACAACATGTGCCTGGAAGGGTAGGAAATCCTGTAGCCCCAACCCTGAAATGAGGATGCCTGACTGCCAGGCAGTGGGTGCTGCATTTATCCTGTTTTATCTGGCCTCCATGACTAATTAGATTGTACTCCCTCCTTCAACCCCAAACTTGTAGGGAATCCTCACATATCACTGAGATTAACAATGAGCAACTGGAATTATATTCATAGGCTTCTCGGGCAAATGAGAGATCTTATATGACAGTATATATTGTTTTTCTGAGAAGGCAAATCTGACTAGATATCAAAACGAGCAATTCAACTTTCTTTAGTTCAGTGGGCTGGTGTAAGGTAAGGAAGTAGGATAGAAGAGATGAAGGTGGCACACTGGCACACCCCAATTCGGCTGAGGTGGTGTTATATAGTGAGAGTGTGGAGAGCGGCGTGTGTCAACAGCAAAGGTAAAGCAGGAAAACATATTCCAGAAATTGACTGCGTTCGAGAGATAATATGGTGTGAAAAACAAGCGAAAAAGCCAGTATGCATAGTCAGCACTGGCTTGCCTCGACCAGTCAGACTCTCCGCGAGCTATAGTAGCGGGAGACCACCACGAAATAGCCCAGCCCATCAACTAGCAGTACCGCGCATGAGCAGTTCGCGAGGGTTTGCACTTTAATTGGGGCAGTTGTGTACCTGACATGTATAGGAACTAACGTAGCCACTAACGTAGCCACTATCAGAGAGTCATTGTGCCCTATTAGAGAGTAATTGTGCCCACCACATTGTGACTACTAGAATTCCTCCAATACTTACAGATGGTCAGTGTACACACCAGCCGCCCACTACAATACACAATACATTCTGATAGTCTGCCGCTGAATGACTGGGTCGTGTGCATGTGGGTCTTTTACGTATGACATGTAGAAAGTGTTAAATTATTGACACAGATGTGCTTGCATCATGTTTCCTTGCTATGCAGAGAGCAGCTAGAATACTGTTGCATAATGTTGCCTCACCGCACAATCTACATAACATTACTGCACAGAATAACTTTGTTCAGGCCTTACTTTCGATGAAGCACGCTACACAAGAGCTTGCATAATGAAAAGGCACTAAAGTGCAAACCCTCGCCGAATTGCACATGCACGATACCGCTAATTGACGGGCTGGGCTATTGGTATACCACTCGTGGTCTCCCGCTGGTAGCTCCCCGGAGAGTCTGACACAGGCTAGCTACAGTAGTATGAGATAGCATGCGGGAGTCGATACATGACCTTCGTTGTGGCTTCTTGTGCCTTCAAGATACGCAGGGCAAGCAGACCCGCTCGAGGTAAGCCTGTTCTAATTAGCATATTGCTCATGTTTCACGCCCTCTCGAACACAGCAGTTTCAGAGAAAACCCCACATATTTTTCGACAGGAAAGCTATTTTTCCAAGGAAAGAAGAAGAGCTGCCCTGGATGAGATTTTAACCCCTACACTGAGGTGGTCAATAATTAGAACTATAGACATTTGTGGCACACCCATTATATGAATACATAACACATGGCTCCTATGCATCAACATCACTGCTCGGAACGTGCAGCTAATGCAACCAGCTGAGTCGCCTTCTTTAGACCCTCTCAATACGACCTCTGTTGGGAGGTAGCAATGCAACCCTCCACTTACCTCCTCAGCCAACACGGCACCCAGATATATACAGGCTATGGACAGGTATGGAGTGGTTGGCAACCGACTCTTCATGGCTACCAACTACATAGTCACTGTGGAACTTGCCAATAACATGTTGGGCTGCCTGTTACCTGTCAAAGAACTGTGCTTATAATGTGGACTGTATGTGTTGCATACTGAGGCAGCTCAGCTCGCTGGGCTGAATCACTCATACTGAGAAAGGCAGAGCACTCTGTGTTCTAGAGAGGGCTCTACCAACTGAGCCACTGAGGCAGTTCAGCTGGCTGGGCTGAATCACTCATACAGAGCAAGGCAGGGCACTCTGTGTTCTAGAGAGGGCTCTACCAACTGAGCTACTGAGGCAGCTCAGCTGGCTGGGCTGAATCACTCATACAGAGCAAGGCAGAGCACTCTGTGCTCTAGAGAGGGCTCTACCAACTGAGGCAGCACTCGCCCACAAATCAAAAAGACCCTCTCCTACTTTGAAAGCTGAGACTCAAAGAGAGGCAGTAGGAGGTGGCAAGACTTGAAAAGCCAAAAAGGAAGGAAGGAAGGAAGCAGAGGGTGTCCTAACAGGTAAGTTGACAGTCCGTGGGTCCTCTGCTACCCTGTGCACCCAAAACGAAGCAAGAAGCAAGACGTGACATGTAATGAGCAACACGACATTCCTGGCCGGCTCTGCCAAATTTCGATTCTTGGAACTAACTCTTTATAGACTGAGTTTGCATATTTTCACAGCCACTGCACATACAGGAAAATAAACGGATTACTATGATTACCTCTCTCCCAGCCCATGCCTTATACTGATCGAACCAAGTGTACTATAATTATACCACGGGCCCCTATACTGGGGTTCGTTGGTACTCTTCCTTCAACTAATAGAGAACTAGTCCTTATTTAGAGGTGCTAGTTTATAAGAAACAGACACTAGTGGGAAAACGTATTAAATGGAGGAGCAAAATAACGAGCATTTCCCCCTCAACAACAAACCTGCTATAGGTATAGAAAGCAAAAGGTACATACATTCTTTTCTAAGAGGAAGTTGAAAAGGAAAATCAGTCGTACCACACATTGTGCCCCATACTAAGTGGGGGGGAGAGACATTTTCGATGAAAAGCTAACTATACACAATAGTAGGCATAGTTTCTTACAAGGAAAGAGAAAGGCACACACACACTACACAACTTGAGCAGCTGGTTTTGTTTATAAAGCACAGTGTACAACCTCAAAAAAGGAGGGTGTTTCTTTGGCCGTGAATACCACAATCACCCATTAAACTCACATATTATTTGAAACTCAAAAATTTAAAGGGCAGAGAGTGCAAAATTTTCGCAGATACACACAATTTTTTTAAGTTTCACAGAAACAATTCCTTTTCAGTCGCAAAATGCCTGCAGCACTGAAGGAGTAGCGCGTCTTTTTGAAAAAGTAGTCTTACCCACTAACACTGAGTTTAATACAACTCTGAAATTTGCCATAGTACTACGTATTGCACATTTAAAAAAGTGTGCATCTAAATCGCGTATTTCCATTGACGCGCAGTATAACCTATATTTATACCTCTAAAATTTGCCATAGTATATACTATTGCACATAATTTGGTCCCATTGTTGTCTGCACAGAAAGGACGTGAGGTGTTCTATTGTATATGCCATAATGATGGGTACACTCACTACAATTACAACAATCAGCAATTAGTTACAACCTTTCTCATAGAGCAGCAGCATACCACTGCATAATAATTATAGTAATCGATTCCATTACCAACACAGCAGTAATAAAGTTAAATGCTATAATTATTATTATATAAAAGTGTGCATTACAGTGCATATGAGGACACCTCTCTAATAAGGACACCTTTCTTT